GGTGTGGTGGTCCTGTTTTACTAAAATATACTGTACGTACTTCATTTCAATCATATTGAAGAAAAAGGATGCAAAAACTGAGATTTACATTTCATTTTAATAAATAATAAATAACTTGTGGCCGAGTTGGCTGCAGCCGAACTTTTTGTGGCCGAGTTGACTTGTGGCCGAGTTGACTGTGGCCGAGTTGACTTGTGGCCAGTTGACCTGCACCCGTATTAGTAACTTGGCCTAGGCCTAGCCTAGTTATACTAGTGTAGAGAAGGCCGCCTAGCCTACTAGTCCAACTTAGCCAAGCCCTTACTTACTTAGTTAATACTTACTTATAGGCTACCCTACCTACAGTACAGGGTGCCTACCTATACTACAGTTTCTGTATGCCTATACTATCTTTATCAAAATACGTTTACCTGAGTGAGCTTTAATATATCTATTATATAATTAGAATACTCTCTTCCAGCTAATGATTGTTCAATTTTAGTATTTATGTCTTTTTAAAATAGTTTCTTGTTGTCACGACTTTCCATGGGCGCAGCCATTTTTATTTATTATTCGCAACTTGAGGGCGCAACAAGAACTCTAACTTGCCGGCGGCGCGCCTACCGTAAAACTTTTATTTTAATATTATTATTTTTTTTTTTTTATGGTTGTCCATAAAAATCAAAGATTTGGTGGCAAACGTCAAAAAATGGATTTCTCTCAAATTTTTACCATGAATAGATACTTGGATGAAAAACATATCTATGATATTTGTTTAATTTTTTTAGCCTTCGTTGTCATGGCAACGACCCATTATCTAAATTTTACAGTTTTTGTCAATTTTGGATATTTTTAGAAGTGAAAAAACACTGACTTTCAGACCTTATTAAAAAAAAAAAGAACATGCACTATATATATTTTTGTGATCATCCATGTAAATTGCCAGGTATAACTTCCATTTGGTGACTCTATGGTTTGAATTAACCGCTTCTAACGTCAGGTAATGCCTTTATTTCTGTAGGGTATAAATTTAGAAGAATTTTGGGGTAAGAACATAAGTTTAGTTGTTTCAACTTCATCAAATTAAGCAATTCTTTTACGTAATGCCTATCCACGAAGATCGTGTTCAAAGTTAAAACATAATTTGGTTTTTAAAGTGAAAAAAACATGAACATGGAAACTGAAAAAAAATACACGAGAAATAAATTCAGCGTTTGTGGCATATAAACTAGGCAATGACATGGAATATATAACAGTAATTTTTTTTTTAATATTGCGAAAAAATGTATGAAATGCACAATAAACACCTTTATAATTTAACTAGGGAAATTTTGTTTGATTCAAATGAGAATATCGAGACGTTTTTCAAAGACATTTTAACAG